AGTCCTGCCTGACCTTCGCCAAGGGCAGGGGGCACCCGCCTGCGACGCGCCCCCCACCCCCAAATAAAACCCCACGGAGCCCCTTGGGAGCAACGGGGGCCCCGGGCGCTGCCCCCCCGGCACCACAACCCCCCGGACACCCCAGCCGCTCAGGGATGCTGCAGGGACGGGATTTCCCTCCTCGCTGCCGTGGGAATTCATTGCAATAATGCAGGGAGGCCTCGGTGGCTACGCGCAGCCCCAGCAGCTCCTTATGAGCCTGAAATGGCTTTTTAAATTGTTTTTGCTTTCTTTCTGGATAAGACCCCCATTTTTCCGGGAATGGGTAAGGCGATCCCAGGGGAGAGGCCTCCATCCCAAGGGCAGAGCAGGCAGCTGGGAGCCCATCCAGAAAGCCCTTAGGGATGGGCTCCAAGGGGGCAACCGGGAGACGTTGGGGCAAAGGGGGTAGCGCTTAATCAACCCCGACCACGGAGCAAACCAAGGGCAGCTCCTCCGTGGACTCCCATCTTTCCCTTTGGGATTCTCCCGATCCATTTGCAAATGGATTTGCAAATCTCTTCGCACAGTTTTCCCCCCCTTCTTTTCTTCCTTTCTCTGAGCCCTTAGCCCAGCGTTTCCCATCTGCCTGTGCCCGAGGGTGGGTTTTTCCTCCCCTGCTCCTCCAGGAGAGGATGCAGCTGGCGCCGGAGGCACCGGAGCAGAGAGCTAATGGAAGGGGAAGAGCAGAGAGAGGCAGAGGATGGTGCAGAGGAAGGCAGCAGGCAGAAGCCCTTAAGGAGGCAGCACTTTTGTGAGGGGACAAGGAGGCAGAGGAGGCCCCTGCGCATCCCCTGTTCAGCACCACGGGCACCTCTGCTGTTAACAGCAGCATTTCCCGAGTGAGCAGAAGGGATCGGATTATTGCTCCTCCATGGAGGCTGGCAGCACGGCCAGATGCAGGGCGAAATCCCAGGCTTAGTGAAGAGCCACCGCGGTCGTGAACATCCCCAAGACTGACGCGCGCTCCCTCCTAGGAAACCTTTGGCTGCTGCGCTGGTGATTTCCAACCTTCCACAAAGTACTAGGAGATTCCTGGTGGTTTTTCCCACATCCTGCTCTTCCCTGGAGGCAAGCGGCCACCAAGCCGCATTTTGGGGCTGAAGATTCGCCCTCAGCATCTCTGCTGGCTGCTTGTGGCCAGCACCAAGGCCCACGTCCCTGGGAATACGCCGGCATTGGGATCAGCCTGCAAAGCAGCGCATCTCCAACAGCCCTCGGGAAGCTGGGAAGAGCCTGGGCAGCCGGGAAGGGCTGGGAAGCCGGTTGCTCAAAAAAGGATCCCACCTCGAACCCACAGTGCTGCTGCTGCGACCCTGAGGCACCGTGTCCGTGTCCCAACCCTGCTCCAGGAACAGCCCTCATCCTGCACGGATGCTGCCCAGGGACAGAGGCCCTGGGCGGGGGCCACA